ATGTCACTCAGGTCTTTTTGCATTAAAAATGGTGCCTGTGGTGCTGCCTGTGGGCACCTGGTCTTTCAGGGATGGTTGTAGAGGAAACCAGGCGAGCGTTGAAGATGGTGGCGTCTGCACAGTGGGAGAGATGGCTGCTTCCGTGCTGCCTGCCATGCCTGTGTGCCACTGCACAGAGCTGCTGCTCCTGCCCTCCCTGTGCTTCTCCCACTTTGCCATCCTCTCAGTCTGCAGGAGTTACTGAGTGCAGTTCCTGGCTTGGTCCCGTGGCTGCTGCCCTGCAGTGCCGTTCAGGCTGGTGAGCTGATAGCAGCTGTGCCATTCTGCTGCCCCAGGTGGGAGGCACAAGGAAGGCTGTAGGAAGGAGTAGCAGATCCTGTGGCTTTATTCTTACTTTTTCTCCCTGATGAAGGCTTTTCTCAATAGTTTCACGCTTGGACTCTGCAGGCTCAACTGAAACTCATCCTAACGATGGCTGTGAAGGAGAAAGGGAGAAGGGCTTGTCGTGCAGTGTGGTGAGATTTATGTACCTGTATGTATAAAGCACAAGCCTCCTTTTTCCTTGTTTTCCAGCTTGATTGTAACTGTAGAAATACTGAGGATGTCTTTGCTGTGTTTGCTTTACTTTGTACTGGAAGATTTCCAAGGGCTCAGGAATCAAAGGTTCCTCACCTTGGCCCTGCCTTCCGCTGAGATCTTGGTTCCTAGATGCTTATCAGAATTGATTTAAAGAGGTGTAACAAAAAAGGGGGGAGGAAAACACCCCCAGCTCTGCTTTCATAGCTGGGGTTTCACTCTTCTGATAGGGATGTGGGTGATCTGAGCAGCTCCTTGGTCACCACTCTTTTTCCAGATCAGAGTGAACATTACCTCAAAATCTGAAGTTGGAATTTTGCTCGTCTCTGAACCACCCTTACAGTCTGTGAGAGGCTCCCTGCCTGCCTGCCCTTCTGGTTTCTTCTGATCTTTCACCAATTTCAGCATCCAGAAGCCCGTCCAGAAACACAGCCCTCCTGCCAATGGGAGCAGATGGGTTTGCGGTGCGTTGGCCCAATGGAGGAAATGTTCACTTGGACCAAAGGCTCTGAGGAAGCTGAAATTCTTCAGATTGTTTTCTCATTTGGAAAACAAACTTTGAAAGAATTAAGATGAAGGTGAAAAGTTCAGCTCGTTTCCTCCGTTCAGGGTGCTCAGTTCCAGTCCCTGGGCTGTTCTGACTGTCCCAAGCAGCCTGAGCTGCTGCTGGCTCTTACTGATCTCTTCCTGTTGTATTTATGGTAGCTCTATCCAGCTGTAGTCGCTGCAGCATCCAACCAGCAGGGCTGGGAGCCTGGGATCCCTTTGCTGGTGCTGCAGACCCCTGGCCTGGAGGTGTTGGTGCTCCTTGCCCTTGGCTGCAGGACGCTGCAGTCCTGCTTTCCCAGCGCTGTTCCCAGCGTTTCGTGTGCAGGAGAAGCCCTGAAGCAGAGGCAGATCTGTGTTATCCTCAGGGCTGTGTGCTTTCTGCTTTTCTCAAGCCATGTGTGTATGGTTTGAGCAACAGTCATGAGGGGGATTGCAGTCCAACCACAGCTTCTGTCTCCTCACCGTATTTCCCTGCCTTTCTGTATTAATGTACATTGCAAAGAGCTCTGAAATCCCATCCTGGTACAACTGTGTGTTGCGTATCTTCTTAAAGGACAAAGGAACCAAAGCTTGAAAACGTGGCCAGAGGTGGAGATGTCAATTGTTTCCTATGCAGTCCTGTGGCAGGGCTGGATGCCAGCGGTTTTGCTGTGGCACTCAGTTCATGATGTGGTTCCAGACCTTCCTCGTCCCTCAGTAGCCGTATGCTTGCAGTTCTCTCTGGATCTCTCATTGATTTCTGGTCAGAGTTTGAGATTTGCTGTCACCTCTGCTTCCAGGCACCTGCCTGGAGCTCTGTCCCTTCTCTGCATGCTGCCTCCCAGTGCTGTTCCAGCTCTGTGGTGCTTTGGTGCCCATTTGGTGCCCATCTGGTCAGCTGTGAGTCCCTGCAGAGGGAATGCCTCTGCCTGCAGATTGCTGTGCTGCACAAAGCAGAGGATTTAAAGTTTTATTGTACGTAGAACTGCCTGCTTGCTGCTGAGAATTCAGTGCTATATGGCAGCAACCTGTCAGGTAGCCTGATTGATTCACCCTGGTGGGACTGAGGAGAGGCTGAAATGAGACCTGAACAGCTTATAACATCAGGGCTTCAGTTCTGATCTTGATCTCCACCATCTGCACTGCTGATCACTGTTCTGCCCTCGGTCAGGAGCATCCCCTGGGTATGGGCTGCATTGTAAAGAGCATTGCAAGGTGTGGGTAAGAGAAGCTGATGCAGAACTTAAATAATCAGCTGTAATTTCTGTTACAGTTGGGTGGAAGATATTTGCATGAGTTAATTATTGACCGAGTTGCTTAGGTTCCATTTCAGCCTGATGCTTCAGGAATGCTAACAGTTCTTGCTTAAGCCATTGAGAGGAAAGCTGTGTCCCAGAGCATTCCCTGTGCCTGGTTGGTGCAGAACTCAGGGGCTGAGGCTCCCGTTGCTCTGTGGTTCTCTTTAAAGCTGGCTGTACTGGAACGTGGGCTGTTGTTTCATGCTCTGTCACTTTAAGGCAGACTTCTCATGGCCGTGTTCCAAAGCATGTCAGGGTCTGAACAGCACGTCCCTCAATCTCTAAACAGCCTTCTGATGTGAGAGGGTGGGTTTCCCCAGGGTGAAATTGAGGGAAGGAAGGAATAAAATTTTACAACTCTAAAAAGAGAGCAGTAGTGGGAGCACTGTTGTTGTTTGCCATCATTTGTGGATTCAGCTCCAAGTGCTGCTCACTGAATGGTGACTCTGGAAAATGGAGAGATCCTTTTGGTTATTGTTTTAATCGATGGACTGTAGGCGTTTCTCTTTTTAGACCCAGTGATGGCCCAGGGTGGTTTTGGAAGCTCTGAACTCCCCGTGTTGTGGCTGGGAAAGACCAGAGATCCTGCAGATCCAGAACTCCATCCTGAAGGCTTCCTGCTTGTGCTTGCATGCATCACACCGATCTCCTGAACTTGGGGATGCGTGCAGCAATCGGAGCAGCCCAGTGGCTCCTGGAGGCACAGCGATAGCTCTCTTATCTCCAGCAGCTTTGCTGTCACTTGAGAACTAAAAGCACCACAGCCAACACTTCCCAGCTGCGGAGCTGCCCAGACCCAGCACCGGTACCAGGTGGCAGCTGTGCAGCTCAGTGCAGAGCGCTGATAACGGCTCAGGGCTGCAAACAGGACGCTCCACCCTGCTGCAGCACCCTGCAGCCATGGCACGGCCTCCCTGCGTGCTGCTCACAGCCCAGCTCTTGCCTTGTGCTGCTCCTGATGGAGCTGCTGTGCTGTGTGCTGTGGATCTGTCCCTGCTGTGCTCGTGGGCTGAGTTCAGGGGCAGCAGCCACACAGGATGGAGGTGTGTGTGAGTGAGGAAGCTGCAAATGCTGAGTTTCTAAATTAGTGGTAGCTGTCTTAGGCTATTAACTGTTGGAAGCGGGGAGTGTGTCTTGAGATGCCAGCTGGGCCAGCACAATAAGCCTTTAATCCTGTGTGGACCTTGTGAGGTGTGGCTGTGGTGCAAGGACTAATGCTATTCCAGCCCTCCCACGTGGCTTTTTGTCCCTACCCTTCTCACCTGGAACTCAAATTCCACTTCTCAAATGGTATTTTAGCTGATAAAAAGAGGTATTTACCCAGCCACGTCCCCAAGCAGTGAGAGCTGAGACACCTCTGTAGAGGAATTTGGCACACAGCGTGGTGCTGGGCAGTCCTGATGCTGGCTTCAACGCAGTCAACTCACTGCCAGCCTTACCTTGAGTTTGGGGAGGAAGGAGAGAATGTCTGTGCACAGCACACCTGGAGCAGAGCTGCTCGTGGCCTCACTACCCTGCCAGGAGGCCATGGGGCTGATTCTAATATGCATGGTAATTTGCATGTCTAATCAAAATGAAATGCAAACAGACTTTTCTGCTGGCTTGAACTTGCCTTTCATGAGTGCTGCTTTTTTGGGTTTGGTGATAACAGCTTTCAGCTGCAGGAGAGGGCAGCTGTGCTGTTGCTGTTTGAACTACTTGTATGCACGAAGCTTTTCCTCCTCGGTACCGTGGTAAAAATCTGCACGGGTGAGGGGTGGTCACCTCCTGGAAGGGGGAAGCTGGGCAGAGCAGGTGCTGGGCTGCAGGGTGGGTGCTGGGGTCTTGCCAGCCTGCCCTGGGTCACAGCAGCACTCAGGTTGTGCTCTTCCTTCCTGCTGGTTGCTGGGCGAGTGCCTGCAGCTGCCAACGGCAGCGAGGGTTCAAGGCTGCCTGCAGGATCCTGAGCTGTGCAGGTGTTCTCTTGGCCTCCCTTAGCTGGGAGCAGACGATTGCAGGCTTCCTCTGCTGAAGTGAAGGCGTGCAGGCTGCCCATCACTGCTGGGCCTTCCCACGGGAGGAGCCCGGCTTCTTGCAGCTGAAGCACTGCGCTGCAGCTAATAAGAAATGGGGCTCTGTGGACATCGTGATGTTTTTTCCCACGCAGAAGCAAGGTTGCCCTGTTGAGCACTTCCCCCGCTCGTGTGGCAGCTCCTTTGGCTTAGGATGGAGTGTCTGATCGCTGGTTTCAAGCAGGCACTGAAGGGCTGCAGTAAAATCTCCTGTTGTACAAAAGCAGTCGCTCAGCGATAAGGGAGAGCAAGAGCTCCACCAGCCCTCACTGACCCACTCTGCTGCGTGGTTCTGATGGCCCAGGAGCAGCAGTGCTGTGCTGTGCAACGTGGCCTGGGCACCAGAGCTGCTGCTGCTGCAGGGCTGGGAGCTCAGGGCCTTCGTTAGCACTTAGATTTTCAAGAAGCAAATGAGCTTCTCCAGGTTCTGTGTGCTCCCTCCCTTCTTGGGATCTCTGCAGTGTACGTGGGCTTGCTGGCGGGGGTGGCTGTTGCTGGAGCTGTGCTTTGAGAGCCTGAACGTCCTCCTCTCTTCTCTCCTGTGTAGCGAGTGTTCCCTGCGCTGCTGCTGCTGCAGAGAAGCCCTGCCGGCCCCGGCAGCCCCGCGTGCGTCGCACCTCCTCACTGGACACCATCGTGGGCTCCTACCTGCTGGGGCAGTGGCCACGGGATGCTGATGGAGCTTCTGCCTCGTGCATGAATGACAAAGCTACCCAGGTATGGATGTGGGCTGTGCGGGAAGTCCCTGGGCCAGGAAGGGGCTGCAGAACTGCAATGGCTGTAAACTGGGCAAAGAGAGGAATTGCTGCATTCCCCTCCATCCAGCTGCAGCTTTCTAGGAAGGCTGTTTTTCCCCTTGTGCTTTTCAGCTCCATGATTCCATTTCGGTGCAGTTAGAATTTCCTTGGCCTTCTTTGGAGGCAGATGGCCTCTGGCTTTCTGCTCCAGCCCTGGCTCACTGCTCGTTTTTTTTCTGGCTTGCAGCTATGGGCCAAGTCCTTATATAACACGCATGGGCTGCGTGCCACACGCTGAGACGGTGAGGGTGCTCCCACAGAAGGGCTCACTAACACAGCACAGCTCTACTGTAGGATGGAAAAGCTCCAGACCTCAAGGAACTCTTAGCAACCTGTAAATATTACTGCATGGCAGCAAATAGTGCTCGCCTATCTGCAGAGGTGAAGGAATTCAGGAGGATAAGAGCATCCGTTAGCTTAGCAAGCCGTTTGTTTAGCACACTCAATCTGTGTTAACTTGCTGTTTGATCTTTGCTGTTTGACAATTTATTCCTGGGCTGTTTGCAGGAAGTTCCCAACTTCCCTTGTCCTTTCCCACTGTGTTCTGCCTGCTTTTGTTTCAGTCCTGTGCCCAGCAGAGCTGCAGAGGACGTTCTGGAAAGGAAAAGATTTGTCAACCTTCATTTCTGAGCAAGGGAAGCGTGCTCCTCCTTTCTGTCTCAAGGCAGATCGGCGAGCACTGAGCTCTGGCACTTTGCAGCCATTCAGTTTCCCTTGCATTCGGTCCTTGTGAGGAGAGGGCTGTGAAGTGGGGGCACCTCCTCAGGATGGAGCTGCTGGCTGTGCTCAGTGGGCCAGCTGTGCTGCAGCCCTGCTATCTGCAGACGCTGATGTGACCTTGCAACACGCCAGTGAGAGGAGCAGTGATCTCCAGCATTCCACTGCTGTGCTCCACTGGTTTGTGTGCACATCAGATGACTTGGCTGTTGTGGAAGCTGGGAATGAAGTCCTCTGTTGTGGCCTGCTCTGTGCTCTAACAAAATGTTCCTCCAGGAGGCTGACGCCCCTTCCATGCTGTCAGCTCTGAGCTGGGACTTTCTCTGCCTGTCAGTACGTGTTTACTCTCCTCCTTCCACAGCTACTGATCAGCTGCTGTGCAGAGCTCTGTAGATTTGCTGTCGTAAGGTCCTTAAGTGAGATACAACTGCAGGTGCTCAGCGTGGGGGAGACTGGCAGCAGCGTGCATGGCTGCAGCCTGCGCCTTTATCTTGCTGTGCAAAGTGTTTTTTTCCCCCCCTCTTTCTGAGGAAGCAGTTTTGCCACAGTTAGTACAAAAAGTTCTGTAATTTCCTTCTGCCGTGACACTCTGCCTAGAAAAGGAGTGGGGTGCACAAACATTCTTTACTTTCAGGTTTTCCTGTTGCGAGAATCATCGCTTCTTCCTTTCTGGGCCCTGTTTCTTGGCAGCCCGGTGCTCTGGGTGTCACAGCAGTAGAGCAGGGTGTTAAAGGAGTTGTTGCTTGAGAGTCTTCAGGTGCCTTAAGTTTTTCTCGCATCCTGGGCTCTTCCAGCAGCTGAAGCTGAGCTTCCCAGCCTCTCCTTCAGCAGTAACATGAGATGGAGCTGAGTCTTGCCTCTTCTAGCTTTCCTCCTTAGCTTTCCTACGTACGTGATCTGCTGGGATGTGAAATGACACAATGTTCTGGCATCAACACCGAACGCTGTCCGAGTTGTTTAGGAGAGACTATTTGAGGTAGGAAATGAGATCAGATGTGCCATGTGCTCAAAGTGTGGGGTTAGCCTGAGCTGCAGGACTTCCTATGGGAGCAGCCTGCTCCTCCACGGGGCGGCTGAGGCTGCTCTGAGCTCAGCAGGACCTCGCAGTAATGCTTCAGGCTGAGCAGATTGCTTCTGTCAAACCAAACTGAGCTCTGCACTCTGTGGCAGCTGCTGTGCTGCCGTGCCTGCTGCTCACTGGTGCTGTGGATGAAGACCCAGGCAGCGCATGCTGTGGTGGGAATGGTGTGCCCTGCTTTGGGGGAGGGGGTGCAAGGAGGGGCTGCATTGGAGCCTGTGACTTGGGGCAGGGTTGGATTTCTGTCTGGAAGTCTTCTGCATCCAGTTTGCAAAGGAAAGCCTGGTACCTCTCCAGATAAACCGCCTTGTTCCTTTGGTTTCAATACATACTAAAACACATTTTGAGAGAAGAGGTTTCTGTCATCCTGCTGACTCGATGGGGCTGCTTCCAACAGCTGCTGTTCTCGCAGTGGCCTCAGGGGAGATGGAGAGCTGCTTGGAGAGGAGCTGTTCTCAGGCCCTTGCACCTCCGGGCAGCCCGTCCCTGAGGATGGAGGAGGGGAGCGCTGTCAGAGCCTCCCACAGCACGGCAGGCAGTGGGGACAGGGGCTGGGTGTTTTGAGAGGGCCTGACATGCGATGTTGGGAAAAAGCAGCCCTGCAGCTGATGTGCCTTGGGAGCGTTGTGGTGCTGGAGGCTCCGCTGAGCAGGACTGAGTTCAGCGGAAGGAAGTTCACACCCATGGCCGATCAGATCAGCGGCCCCTTCTGACTGCCATTGATGCTCATAACGTGGCTGTTGCTTGGAAAACAGCTGTGCAGTGCGCTGGGGCTGTTTTTGTGCAACAAGAGTCAGCTGAGAGCTGCCAGCCCTTCAGCCAGTGAGCAGCACAGGCAGCTGGGCTCTTCCAGCACTCCTGCGGCAGCATCGAGTCTGCAGGCCAAACCCTGCTTTTGGTTACGCCTTTGAACTGCGATAATGGGAGCCTGAGGTCTCAGAAGCAAGCTGTGTGTTCTCACAGCTGGGTGAGGCTTTTCCTCTCTGTAAGGCTGCTGTGTACAAACGAGTGCTTGTGTCTCTACGTCACCCTGCTTTGGGCTGCAGGCAGCGCCAGGGCGTGAGGAGCAATGGCTGTGCCTCACGTTGCCAGGTACCCGTGGGAATTGAGGCACTGCCTTCCGAGCAGCTCAGTTGCCATGCAGGTCCGTGGGGCCCAGTTTTCCTTCAGAGGCACAGATTCGGTTAAAATGGTGAGGTTTTGGTGAGTGCTGAAAGAATTCGGTGCGCTTTACTGAGCAACAGTGGGGGAGGACTGGAGCAGGGCTGTGAAGGAGCAGCAGTTGATCGCTTTTATTCTTTCGTGCTCTCCCAGCAGCCTCAGAGCAGTAAGGCTGGCGATTGTTCTCAGCAATGTTTCTCCTCATTCAGACCCCGGTGTCCTGGCATGATGCAGAAGTGGGAAAAGCCAGCTCCAGTGCTCACAAGCGTTCTGCTTCCTGGGGTAGCACAGATCACCGCAGAGAGGTAAAACAGATCGCTCCCAGCACTTGAGCAAGGTCTGTGTCAGCTGCTGACGTGCAGGAGGCTCCTGCTTGCATGGGAGGGGAGTGGGAGGATGGGGTTGTAGTGTTAGAGATGAGATGTTAGCCCTCATTCTCACCCCTAATGCTGTGCTTGGACAGGAGGCTGATCTCACAGGCAGCTGTTATAAAGAAACTCCTCTGGAGCTCAGCGCATTGCTGGTAGGTGTCACAGTGTGCGTGGGCTCCAGCAGGGCCTGGTGCTGCAGGTGGAAGATAACCCAGATGCAGCGGCGCTGCCCACGTTGCCAGGGGGCAGCTTTTGGTGAGGCCTCGTGGGCAGTCCTTGCTCATCCTTGGAGAGGCAGAGCAGCTTGTTGTGCGATGGGAGCTGACACTATTTTGGCACTTCCTCATGGGTCGAGAGAGAGGGGAGGAGAGAGACAAGATGTGATGATTGATTTTTGGTGGAGGTGTATTGGCTTGCCTCATTCTGCAGCTGAAACTTTATTTGCTAGATTGCCAAACTGAAGCAGCAGCTCCAGCGAACGAAGCTAAACGGCAGAAGTGGCAAAGAAAAGGAGAAGAGCTCCCCTCTGCAGGGGGACCACGCCGTGCTTGGATCGCTGCAGGTAGGTTGATGTAGGCTCACACCTCCCCATGCTGTCAGTGCGTCCCAATGAGATGAGTGCAGACATCCCAGCTGTTCTCAGACTTCTGAGAAAGGGGTTGGGGGGGTGGAAGGGGGGCGTTTTTTTCTTCCTCCTCCGCTGCTTCAGCAGATCCCCGTGCTCTGACCAGCACTTGGTGGGTTTCCGTGGCTCTTCTGTGGGTCTTTGCCAGTCAGCCTCCTCGAAGGCTCTGGCTGAGCACTGAGTGCTGCGACATCGGAATGGAACTGAGAAATGACTGAGTTTGTGCTGCCACAGCTAACATCTTTCACTCTGGGTTGTTGCAGGACTCTCCTTCAGGCTTCCTTTCTCTGTCTCCTGTTTTGAGGCTCAGTCCTTGCTTGCACAGGAGCCTGGAAGGGCTAAACCAGGAACTAGAGGAAGTGTTTGTGAAGGAACATGGAGATGAAGAGCTTTTGAGGGTGAGTGAAGCTTGAAGGATCGCCCTCAATCTCCTGGATGGTCTCTGAATGCTTTCCTCTCGTGACGCTCGCTGCCCACAGCTGCTGCTTGGCTGTGGGGATGATGTCTGTGTTCAGTTCTGGGCACATAGCTGCCTGAATGGCTCTGGGCTTCCCTCCTTAGGCTTGGTGCTGTGGGAGATCAGCCAGCAGGAATCTCAGCAGCACTGAGGCACTGTCTTAGATCAGCATCCAAAGGCTGCTTCGTACCATGCAGGTGTGGGAGGTGATCCCAGCCAGCCTGTGAGCAGAAGTGGTGCAGGGGATGCAGAAGGGTCTGTGTCCTTCTGCTCTGTCTGTGGCTGAGCCTCTGCTGGGAGCCAGCACCCAAAAAATACCGTCTGTAGGTGCAACTGCTTCCTCACCTTTTCTGTGGTGGAAGGGCTGGGTTTCTTCTTGTCCTGCTGAGATTTTGCTTTTTCCCTAGATCTTGGATGTCCCAGATGGCCACAGAGCACCAGCACCTGCTCCGAGAGGCTCTGGGGATGCCTCCCTGATGCTGGAGCCCAGCAGTGGCAGCTGCAGCAGCCTCTCGCTTTCTCCTTCCCCTTCTGTGCCTCTCCGCCTTTCTCCACACACTCCAGTGAGACTGGTGGCAGAAGAACTCTCCTCTGCTGTGGATGAGGTGCAGCTGGATCCAAAAGAGAAAGGCAAGCGCTGAGCCCGTGCGGCTGAGAGGCTGTGGGGGGATGAGGAGGCTGTGTGATGGATCCAAGCTGCAGATGAGGTTGGAAGGGATCTCGGCCACTTTGAATAATGGTGGACTTCCTGAGCCCTGCTAATCGGTCTCCAGGTGGATGCTCTCCTGTTGTGCTGCATGGTGGTTATGAGCAGGGAGCTACACAAATAAAGTGCTTTGGGTTTAGCCCACAGCCACAGGGGTACTGGAAGAGCACGCTTGGGATTAGCTTAAACTTCTGTTGGATCAGATGATCTTATGGGCCGTTTCCAACCTTGTGATTCTATGATTCTCATAAAAATTTCTTTAAAAGTATCTTTCATCTCTTGTAGAGGAGGGCAGCCCTTCTCCAGTGCTGGCTTTCGCTTCCTCTCCTCGGCCCAACCACAGCTACATGTTCAAACGGGAGCCTCCTGAGGGATGTGAGAAAGTCCGGGCCTTTGAAGAAGCTTCGTAAGTGCGAGGAGTTGTGGCAGAGCAGAGCTCAGCTGGGGTTGCTCCTATGGCAGGATGCTGGGGTGGGAGCAGCTGAGCCTCCAGTTGTGCTGTTGTGCCCTGCTCTGAAAGTAGGGAACAGCCTCTAAGGAACACTGCAGCAAAACCTTGGCTGCTCGGATCCTGGTGGAAGAGGTGAAAGCTGCAGCGTTAACCCTGAGACACACTGGGAAGGGTGTTGTGATTTCTGCCCTTCTTAGGCGGTAGATAACTCTCAGCCAGCACAGCCCCTCAAAAAGAGAGCTGCTTTTCCTGTAAATAAGTGTGCTTTCAAAACAAAACAGCCTCGTCGTGCTGCTCTGTGCATGAGGAGCAGCCCAGCTCACAGCCCAGTGACTCAGCTTTTAGTCAGGCTCTTTGAAGAGCACGCAACCCCAGGTGTTGTCCCTGCAGCCGCAGGCAGTTTGGTGCTCTTGGGGAGCATCTGTTGCTGATCACATCCTCTGTGTCTCTTTCAGCTCCAGCCCTGACCACACCTTTCAGCCTTCCTGCCCAGATAAGAACAAAGTGCACTTCAACCCCACGGGCTCTGCCTTCTGCCCGGTCAGCCTGGTGAAGCCTCTCTTCCCAAACGTGGGCTTTCTCTTTAGCAGGGGCTTTCCAGCATCATCCAGCCCTGGCACGGGCACGTTTACATCCTGCCAGCCCTCGGCCCCCACGCCATTCCTTGGGGCACGGAAGGACGCTGCTGTAGATAACTTCAGCGACGCCTCCAAGTCGCCTTCACTCAATTATGAACACTGGAAACGTGGGCAGCCAGAGGAGAACGTCGTCTTCCACAGCTCCCTCGTTGTGTGAAGCCTTTGGGAAAGTTAGCCAGCAACAGCAGCTCTGGCTCCTCAGTGCACCTCGGCCATCCCGTGGAGATCAGTGCCTTGAGGTTGGGACTTGACAGCGAAGGGGCAGCGCTGGGCCTGAAAACCACAGCGGGCTGCCAAGGATGAAAGCAGCTGTGAAGGACCACGTTCCACAGGACTCCTCGCTGCTGCGGGAGGGGCTCATTTCCCCGAGCCTCCCCTGCTGAAAGCACTTTCCTGCGTTGAATTGTCATTTCCTGTATGATTGTTTTGCTGGTGAAGAGCAGCTGGGCACCCCTGCCATGGGTGGAGCTGCGCACCGGGCCTCTGAGTGCAGTTGAGCCGAGAGGATTCAGGTGGAGCTTCCCAGTGCTTCTCATCCCTGCTGCTGCCGCTGCCTGGTGCTTGCTGAGCTCTGGGAGGTGGGAAGGGGGGAAGGGTCTCGTAGGACGGCTGCTCCGGGGCCGTGGGAGCTGCTGTTGATCTGTAGTGGTGACACAGACAGCAGCGTTCTCTGCCTGCGCCTCCATGGACGCCTTCAGCCCCTGAAACCCCGGAGCTTTGGGAGCCCTGAGGCAGCTGTGCTGAATGGGGGGAGGGGGGGGAGCACAGGTGACCGAATGCCGCCTTCTGCAGGGGGAGGAAAACTTGCCTTACTGCAAGGAGTGAAGGAGAGAGATGGTGGCTGCTCAGGAATGGCAGAGCTGCCTGCCGGTGTCCCCGGTGCTGCGGCCACATTGCAGGAAGAGAGGATGGGAAACAAACTGCGGTGCTGGAAGGCGCCCGGCCATGAGCCCACACAGCTGCACAGCGGGGCTGGGGCTGCCTGGGGGGGGTGTGGGGTTCGTGGGCCGCAGAGCGGAAAGCAGAGCGGTGACACGAGGACACAGATGGTAAAAAGCCTCTTAACAGCGGCGTTTGGTTGTGTTCTGTTGCAAAGGCTCTGGGTTGTACTGAAGAAGCCTATTTTCTTATATCTGATGTAGAAACTCTATTTTCTTCCAAAGACACTATTTTTGCAGCTGTTTGAAGTTTGTATTTTATGTATGTATTGCAAAGCTTAAAGGAGGAACGTTAGATTTGGAGTTGTGTTTAGAGGGGTTTTTGCAGATGCTGGTGTTGACAGTTACATGGAGAAAATAAACTATTTCGTGCATCCGACAGCCCTCGTGTTCATGGGGGGGGGTTGGATTTAATATTCCCGAGTATGACGGGGGTCGGAGCGATGGGAGGCGCTGAGCGGAGCTCCGGGTCGAGGGAACGCAGCGAGCCCGGCCGCCGAACGGCTCGGCGCTGCGCATGCGCACGGCACGGCCCAGTCGCTCGGGCGACGGCGGGAACGCCACCCGGGCTCCGCCCTCTGGCCGCACAGCCAATCACCGTGCTCCACATCTGCTTGCGTCACCGCCGGGGCAGCGCTCACTGAAGGCCCCCAGCCCGGGGCTGCCCCACGCGCTGCCTGTCTCCAGAAATCCCCGCAGCCGCGATCGTGGCCGAACCGCGACGGCGGCGACCTCGGAGAGGAGGCGAACGGTTTCGTTCCGCAGCTCCGGAATGGTTTTGCTCGACGTCTCCCGCCTCTCGTCCTCCCCCAACCCCGCCGCGGATCCGGCAGCGCGGGGGGCGGGCGCGGCCGGGCCGGGCGGGTCCTGCGCCGCGGGCGGGCGCACGGTGCGTGTATGAGGCCGCCCGCTCCGCCGCCGCCGGCCGCCGTGCGCGATGTGGCTTTGGACGTGGGCCCGGCGCTGAGCGGCCGCGCCGCCGCTATGGGAGCGAACGCGGGCGGCCCCGCGCTGCCTGAGCGCCTCCGCCTGCCCATCTGCTTCCTGGGCGTCTTCGCCTGCTACTTCTACTACGGCATCCTGCAGGAGAGCATGTGAGCGGGCGCGGGGCCGGCCCGGGACTCGGGTTTTTCCCCGCGCCGCCGGCTCACCGCGTCCCGCTCTTGCAGCACGCGGGGGAAATACGGCGACGGCGCCCGGCAGGAGAAGTTCACGTACGCGCTCAGCCTGGTCTTCATCCAGTGCGTCATCAACGCCGCCTTCGCCAAGCTGCGTGAGTCCGGGCTGCCGGCGGGGCTCCCCGCGCTCCGCGGCTCTGAGCGCCCTGAGCTCCGTCGCAGCCCTGACGCTTCTCCTCCCTCGCTCTCCCCGCAGTGATCCGTTTCTTTGACTCCGTCAGGGTGGATCGCACGCACGGCTGGCTGTACGCCGCCTGCTCGCTCTCTTATCTGGGCGCGATGGTTTCCAGCAATTCGGCCCTGCAGTTCGTCAACTACCCGACCCAGGTGAGCGTCGGCCGCTCCGGGACCGGAGCTCCGTTCGCCGGCTGGGAGCTGCCGCTGACGGCTGTGGGCTGCAGGTTTTGGTTTTGCGGTCGCTGTGTGGCGGGGCTTTGTTGGCTTTCCTGCAGGAGGTGCAGTGTGTCGGTGCCGGTCGGGTCGCCCTCGTGTTGGGCTCACACTGCAGGCAGCAGGTTGGTGTGCAGGTGGTTAATGTGCTCTTTTTTTTGATAGGTCCTAGGCAAATCCTGTAAGCCCATTCCAGGTAAGCAAATTAAAATGCTTCTTTGCGTGTGTTTCTGTGGGTTTCTCGTGTCCTTTGACCGATCCGAGGAGCACAGCTGTAAAAACAGCGCCGTGTTGCAGGAACAGCAGCTGTGCACCATTCGGCCCCGTGTTCTGTTCTGTGGGCAGCTGGATTCCCAGGTGAGGATGTGGGCTTCATGGTGTCGCTTCTTTTGCAGTCATGCTTTTAGGTGTGACTGTGCTGAGGAAGAAGTACCCGCTGGCCAAGTACCTCTGCGTCCTCCTGATAGTCACAGGCGTGGCCCTGTTCATGTATAAGCCCAAAAAGGGAGCTGGAGGTGATGACCACATCTTTGGCTACGGGGAGCTCCTTCTGGTGAGTGCTGCTGCAGTGCAGTGAGCTCAGGGCTGCCGGGTGGGAGGATGGAGCAGTGAGAGCTTTGTACAGCAAGAGCACCTTAAAGCTGATGTGGAAATGCTTCCGTGCAGTGGGCGCCTCATCGAGTTTGAGGGATGCATGTTTCTTTCTGTCTGTTCTGAGATCGCATCATTGGTGTTTAACAGGTGTTTGGGATGCCTCAAACGAGGGAGGGAGCTGAAGGTCTTCACCTTAGAGAAGGTTTCGCTTTACTCGTATCCCTGTCTCCTTTTGTCAGTTGCTGTCGCTGACCTTGGATGGGCTGACAGGTGTCTCTCAGGACCACATGAGAGCTCACTATCAAACCGGCTCCAATCACATGATGCTGAATGTTAACCTCTGGTCCACCTTGTTCCTGGGAGCTGGTAAGGAACGCCCTGCACAAAGTACGGCCTGCCCTGCAGCGCCCTGCGGGAGCAGCGCCGTGTTCTGCTCCCTGAAGGACTTGGAAACGCTCGTTGCAAAAGAGCTTCAGTTTGGGTGTTCGGTGTCTGGGTGTTCGGTGCAGCTCTTCCGACGCCCACCAGGGGGCGCTGCTTCACACACAGCTTGATTCCCCAGCTGAGCTCCGTGCTGAGCAGCCCTCCGTGCTGCCGGCTGCGTTGGGAATGTGAACTGAGGTTGTGCTCCGTAGGCTGAGATGATGCTCGGGTGAATAACTTCTCATCCCGACCCTTCCCGCAGGGATCCTGTTCACTGGAGAGCTCTGGGAGTTCTTGAGTTTCACTGAGCGTTATCCCAGCATCATTTACAACATCCTGCTGTTCGGCCTGACGAGCGCGCTGGGTCAGGTAAACTGCCCTTGTTCTGCAGCCTTCACTGGGGTTTGTTTGCACAGCTGGGAGATGGCAGAGCAAAGTTGCCTCGCTTTCTGTTGCTTTGGTTATCGCTGCTTTCCATGTAGGCTACCACGAAATTAAAATGGTTGTATGGAAGTAATGGGGAGTTGGAAAAAAAAGAAGAACAACCCGAAAGCTGTTCTTTCAGCTCTGGCTCTGTGGTTGAAAATGTGATCCCGGCTGTGTCTTTTTGTGATGAAAAGCACCTGTTTGTTTTCCAGAGCTTCATTTTCATGACGGTGGTTTACTTCGGACCTCTGACCTGTTCCATCATCACCACGACACGCAAGTTCTTCACCATTTTAGCATCCGTCATTCTGTTTGCCAATCCCATCAGCAGCATGCAGTGGGTGGGGACGGTCCTGGTGTTCCTGGGTAAGTTTGGGAGCAGAGCTGAGCTCTTCCTTCCGTTAACATAAACAGCGCTCAGCGGGGGCAGCTGTAAAAGGTGCTGGTCAGAAAATGGAATTGTGTGGAACGCTTGTGATGGAAGTGTGCTGCAGCTTAGAGCGGGGGAAGAAGAGGAAGCTTTCCGTGCACGCAGATTGCTTTGTCTCTTTGCAGGCCTTGGACTTGATGCCAAATTTGGGAAGGGAGTAAAGAAGACGTCGCATTGAGGAGGCGGTGGATCTGTGCTGTTGGAATGAACTTTTAATTTATTGTCTTGTACCTCAAAGTCTGTCATGAAACTGGACTCAGGATAGGTAATTAGAAGGGGAATGTTTGGATTTTTTTTGTTGTTGTTTTAGTTTTTTAATTACAAATTGCTTCAGTTTTAACTGTAATCAAGTATGATGGTTTTTTTCTGTAATCGAAGGTGCAGTACTAGATCCTAGCAGCAGGATGACATTCTTGCCTTAACAGAAAAAACAAACTTCCTATCTTTATTAAAGAAAAGGAAACAATGGCCTCTTCTCCAGGACTTTGATTTCTTGGCTGACGGTGGGGAGGCAGAGCACAGCTTTCTGCAAAGAGAGGCTGTCAGAATGGCGTTAGCATGGTGCAGCCTGGGGAGGTCCCGGATTAAATGCCTGTGTTGAAGAGGATCCTCTGTCCTGGCTGATTGTGTGGTGATTTTCACAGTGGAGCAGGCAGTCGGACGTTCTGCTGTTAACAATGTGCTGCACTGCGTTCTTCACCTGAGCCCTTCTGAACAGGCAGCCCTTGGCGTATGTAAAAACATACAGGAAATCTGTTGAACCGCCGGGGTTAAAATGAATTCTTTTCATCTCCCCCTGCAGAGGAAGGAACAGGAACCTCTGCCGCTAAACTGGTGCCAAGGTTGTGTGACAACAGCTTCTGAATGTTGAAAGGGCCCTTGTTAATTAACCGCTATCATGGTGAGCTGCCGCTCCTGGGCGCAGGCTGGGTCCCAGTGCTGCGGGGGGAGGAGCTGCTATCAGAACGATGCCTGCAGAGTTGGAGAGCAGAATTCTCCACAGAACAAACTTTACACATGAAAGCACGTTTGCACCAGCTGTCGCTTGGTCTCCATCTGTTCTGTGGCTTTGGCCTTTTGCCCCTCCAGATGGGATCTTGATCTCTTTACTGAGCGGCTGCTGTAAGTCTCCCTTTCCAGCCCCTTCTATCCCCACCTCTGCAGTATTTCTTACAACTTTTCTGGACTCCAATTTGTTTTTCATTTAGTCTGCCTCGTTATCCTGTAGCGCTCCTCCAACAACACATTTCTTGCAGAATTAAACCTGAGGATATGAAAGGTTTTGTTTTTTTCTGTCACTCTCACCTCCTTGCTGACTTGTGTTGCCTTAAAGGTCAGATGATAAGCAGCAAACAAATGTGTTCTCAGTAGTAGAGAACCACGAAATAAAAGCTTCTGTGATGTAACTCCATGGATGCTGCTTGATGAACTTCGTGCTGGCACCTGCTGCCGTATGAAGATCCCAGCTGCCCTGAGAACAGTATATTCAAGGTAATTAATTGCCATTTCATAAATGGGAGCAGAAATACTGAATGACTTGTGCTGTAGATAGCACTGAGTTTTGGTGCTGTCTGAGTGGTAAAGGTGTCTTTGCTCTGCAGGACTTGGTGCTGAGGGATAGAGGAGCATCTTTTGAATTCAGCCAGTTCTTAAATTGAGTAACCAGCATCAGCAGAAACACTCACAGTTCTGCAGGCTCGTTTTGCCCGTTATTAAATAAGTAATCTAATGAGGAATAACCCCCCGTCACTGTGCACAGTGCAAACAGCTGAGAAATGCCACAAATCACTTCCTCAGCCGTGTTCCTCCACACGATCAGGAAAATCATTCAGACGCATCACCTGTTAATTCCCAAAGCACCTCTCTGCTCTAGGGAGCTTGCTGCAAATAAAATGGAAATGACTCTGTTTTGATTCCACAGAAGCAGGTTGCTTATTA